AACGTTTCAATTTACCCAATTAAATTATAACATTAAAGAAAGTAAAACATTAATTTATTTACTTATCCTATAGGCTATAAGTTACCTATCAATAGGTTTAATGGAATAATAATATAAATCTAATTAAATAAATACTTATAATTTTATTATTTGTATATTTAATATTTTACAGAAATTATTTATAAAAACATAAAACTGTATCTCAAATATAACGTGCCGTAGTTTGGGGTGAATAAGAACGATTTTAACGGGGTTTTTTTTTTTAATAGATTATAAGCTAAATTTATATAGTATCACGAAAACTGTTTTATAAAGATCACACGTATAGAAATGTATAACATACCAAAAATAAAGTTTATAAGGTTCGCGTGATAACGTTTGTCATGAACCGGGGAGGAGCCAGTGTTTGCCAACTTTTGATAAACCGTGAACGTGTGTTTAAAAGAGAACATTGTCCGATTTCTGAGTACGAAACAGTAAATAAAAATGTACTGTTTACCGATTTCAGCATTTGATCTTCGGACAAATAATCGCCGACTATTTAAAATTTCTTATAGTGGGGCGTTCGCCATAGTCTACACCCCCCCCCCCACCACCAAACCACGCCACCGTGTTCGCATACGGTTTCGAACGCTTTGCAACCCCGCGTGCAACGTTTTCACGTGTGTTTCGAAATTCGTTCGATTTCGCTGCGCACGGACCGACGCGAAAACCCGAAACTTTCGCGTTTCGCCGGATGCGTTCGCGTCACGTTGTCACGTGAAAGTCCCCGGAGCACCGGAGTCCGATGCGCCGTCGGACGAGATCGGTTTAAAAACGAGCTCGTACGGCGGTGTCCGTCGGTCCGGACCGTTGTCCGATTTCGATGCGCGGACCGTTCGCAGTCGGTCGACGTGTTCGCGAGAACCGGTTAGCCCAGTGCTTCCCAAACTTTTTCGACTCGAGGCGCCCTTATTGATCCAAGGTTTTTTCAGGGCGCCCTTCTCCAAGTCATAGCATGACTAATCATAAGAAAAATGTTAGACCCGATATTATTTCATGACGGCGCGGCGCCCTTATACATACATCGCGGCGCACACTTTGGGAACCTATGGGTTAGCCGTCTCCCCGACCCGGTTCTGCACGCGACGGCCGACGGGAAACCCCGTAACGCCGTTGAAAATCGACGCGCGCGCCTAAACGCGAAAGTCTCGGTTCACTCGTACCTCGGAAACGGCATTTTTCCAATGCTGCTCTTCGAAACGTACGGATGTGACGGTTATCGATGAACCCGCAAACGGTCCCGGAGCAGCCGGAAAAAACGAATCGTTCGGGTTTTGAAAAGTTCACGTTGCAACAGTGAATAAAAAAACGTGAATCGCCTTCTTGGAAAAAAAAAAATATATATTAGAAAAAAATTAAAGCCCGAAAAAAATGCGTCAAACTTTTCGTCGGTAAAAAGGCCGGATCTGTTCCGTTCGTTCACTACCGCTGCATAAATGTTCTATTGCCCTGAAAACTCTATCTTATTTTATCTAGTGCAAATAAAATTAAGCTCGTAGTCCAATGGTTAATGACTATTAACCCGATGCAGAAGGTTTTGATCTCTAACCGTAACGAAAATTGTGTGCGTTTATTTTTTATTTGAAAAATCGGAACAATAAATTTTAAAAACGTTAAGGCTTTGCTCGTCTGTGCGTGACACTTTCGTGGGGGATGGGGCTTCGCTCCAAGGGGAATTATAGTCTAAGCCTAACCTAGTTTCCGTACGAACCTCGATACTGTTGCAAATGGGATTATGCTTCGTACGTGAACCCTAAACCTCGATGCGCGAGTAAATCACATATCTAGACCACAAAATACAGGGTATTACACTATAACTAAACGGCAATTCACAAATTTATCATTTTATAACACGTAATAACGTAGACACGGTTTGGAAAATAACCAAAAAATAAAAAAAAAAAAAAAAAAAAATGTAGTAGTGAAACGGAGAAGGTCCAAAAAGCGTTTTGTCCTCAAATTTTGTCGGGGACGCTAACGAGTCTTCCGGTGAGTGTTCTGCACGCGTGCGCAAGTTTTTAGCCGGTCGACGCGACCGGTGTTGTTAGGACGGAACCAGCGAGACGTGTTCTTCTTGTGGCCGTGTGAAAAACGGGTCATCGCCGACCTACGACAACGCGCGAATCCCGCGCTCGACGAAGAGTAGTGGTTCAGGATGATTTTTCAGGAGGGAGGGGAGCAAAATCCGTGCAACGGATCTGTTGACGTCAAAACGTTAGCTATTCCGAAAACATGAAACGTTTTTGATCGACACGGAACTCGAACAACAGCATAGTAAACGATAGAGTAAACGATGAAAATATCCGAACGACCAGCACGGAATATTGATCGTCGATTATAACTGTCTACAAGAAAAACCTATGATCTACTTTTTAGATAAAAGGTTTTTCTTTACCGTCCATGACACGGAACGCGGTGTCGATGTTGGAAACGTTTTCTGCGTGCAACCAGCGGCGGGACTATGGGATGGAAGACGGGCATTCATCCCCGGGCGTAAAATTTTTGAGGGTGTAATTTTTGTAATTATTAACAACTAATTTGATATTTTTAACTCGGTTAAATACTGTTATTAGGTCAAAACTCAATAAGTATGATTGTTTGTTAATTATACGAGAAGAAGAAAAAAGAAAAGAGTTCGTAAGAAAAAAGTTCTCGAGAAGAGTATTTGATCATTGGTCTATGATTATTTTCTGAAAATTCGGAGGGGGGGGTTGAGGCACCTTAGCCCTCTCCCCATAAATACGCCTCTGCTCGTCTTTATGTATCAAAAATTTTTCATTGTTATTATTATTATTATTATTGTGTTACATTGAGCTATACGCGATTGCATTTGTTTTTGGAAAATAAAATACAATTCAAATGTTTTTTAATTAATTTTTTAAAGCAGTAGTTACCGAACAACTTTCGAACACAAAACTTGTTTACAATTATGGGTTTAGAAAATAATATATAATACGTGAAATGTTTAGATTTCAATAACATTCTACGAGTATAATTAAATTAGAGACAAATTGATGTAAACATACATACGGTGTATAATTTTGAAATAATAATGTTTCATTGAAAAATTATTTAACGCTTAGACGTTTAAAAACAATTTTCATGCATCTAACCGGACTGTTATAAAAAATCGAATAAAAAATGTACAGAAGTTCTAAAACATAATTAGTTTTTATAACTTTCTGGTATGAAAATAAATTCAGAAACTTAATAATCGTTGTGAAATTACGTATATATTTACTAAATATACTACATGGCTAACAATTAATTTGTTCATACCACAGTTTTGTTTCTTAAACAATTTTTAGCAATTCGGTTTATTATATTCCATTGCAATTGTATTATTGTACACGGTATACATGGTGAACAATTTGAATATTATTATTTTATGTCTTTTAAAAAACCATTTTTAATGTTATATTATATGACATTTGAAAATCTGTTTCAAGTTTTTTTCAAACTGACAATAATTTTTAATTGAATTTCAACATAATTTTTCTAATTATGGATTTTAATTCAATTTCAATACTTCCATTCGATTGACAATACAACTAACATAATTAATGAAATGAAAAAGAACAAAATCTATTCTAATTATGTCAACAGTTTTTTTATAACATTCATTTTATTAAAAATGTATAAAAAAATATAAAATTCAAGTATATAATTCTATACTTATATATATTGTTTTTATGCATAATAATTAAAGAAATTCATTAAATACGTAAGAATTACATTTTACTTAGGTAATTGATTTTTTTAATTACGTTGAAACTTTAGTTTACGGCCTTCCGAGTATAAAAACTTAACAACTATTGCGGCATAAACGCATAATAAATTACTGTAAAGATTATTTTGTAACAAATAAGAAATTAATAACGAATTCAACATAAATGGATGATTTGTCATTTTAAACGGGTTTTTACGATATTTTATTTGGCTTTGTTCAGAAGACTCGTCAAGGAAATTATTTTATTTCTCTTGTTTTTTATAAGTTTAACAATCAACCTTTCATGTAAGATTAAGTTGCATTTCCCAGAAGTAATGAAGTCATTTCGTGTTTCCTTTTAATGGATTCGTAAGTTTATGATTCTCGTTTTAAACAAACTTTACGGTAAACGTTCGGATTTTAAAATCAACAATAGTTGTATTCGTACAAGATGTCTGGAAAGGATTTACTATTTATTATAATATATTTTGTGACAAAAAAGACTTTTAGATTGTTTTTTGCTTTTGATTTTTTTTTTTTTTTATAGCATGCCATTATCTTTTAATAAATAAATTCAAACACATTTGAATATTTCCATTAACATATAAGGTGTATCGAAATTTGTAAAGCCACTGACTTTCTGCAGCATAACTGGCTGCTGAATCGTTTTGAATTTGGAGGATATTTTTCTTTGATGTGTGGATTAACTTCGAATGCAATATTGAGTTTTGTTAAATTAAAATTTATACATTGACTAAAATTAATAACATACGTACTTACAAATTTGAATACGTTTAAAATATGCCAATAAATAAATTATTGATAATTTATTACTATTTACTATTACTTCTATAACTATGAGTATTTTTCTCATGATATCCCAGAGGAGCACTATCTAGTGCGACGGGCTTTGCGAACCCGGGGCCTCGAGCTCTGAACTGTACTGACTTTAATGAGTTGGTGCAGTTCTCCCTTCTCTGACCTTAACTGGTTGGAGTGGTTTGGTCCTCCAGTTTGGGGGTTTAGCGCAGGGATAATAACTCTGTCTTAGAAAACAATATTGTTCAGGACCTAATAGCAAATTTGTTTGCTTCGGAATCGTGGAGCTTTGAAAAACAAGACTGGAAAATGGAAAAATAGATTATGTTTTGGAACATGGAACGTTTGGACACTTTTTAAACCTGGAACAGTACAATGCTTAATTGAGGAAACAAAGAGATATTGACAAGAGTTGGTAGCTTTACAAGAGATGAGATGGAATGATAAAGGAACTCTAGATATACAAAACATAACGATATTCTACAGCGAATGTAATAAGCATCGTCAATTTTGCACGGGCTTCGCAGTACATAAAAACTTAGTACCTCCAGTAAGAGAATTCAAAAACATTAACCCAAAGATATCAGTATTAACAATAGAAGCGCAATATTTCGAAATTACATTCGTGAATGGGCATGCACCCACGGAAGAAAAAACACAAGAGAAGAAGGACGAATTTTATGATCACTTGGAATACACGTTTAATGAAATCCCACGAAGTAGAATTAGGATAGTCCTAGGAGATTTTAATGCCAAGTTAGGAGAGGAGAACATATTTAGGTCAACTATTGGTAACAATTGTCTTCACGATGTAACCAGTGAGAACGGACTCAGGCGCATAGACTTTGCAAGAGGTGGAGGACTTGTTGTGAAAAGCACAATGTTCCCACATAAAGACATCTATAAGGGTACATGGAAAGCACCAAATGGTAGATATGTCAATCAGATAGACTATGTCCTTGATTAATACTAGGTTCAAAAATTGTATATAAAATGTTCAAACAGTCAGAGGAGCTGATTGTGATTCAGACTACTATCTAGTTAAAGGAAAATTAAAGGTAAAACTCAAGAAACTGATATCTAGAAAAGGAACATTAGTGGAAAGACATGATGTGAATAAGTTAAAGAATACCAATATATGTAGAATTTTTAAGCAGAAATTACTTGAAAAAATGAATAGTTTAAACATGATTCAAGAAGAGACAATTTACACTAAATGGAATGTGGTTAAGGATGCTATAAAAACAGTAACAGACACAGTAATAGGCAAACAAAAGAGAACAAGGAAACCGTGGTTCAACAACTCCTGCAAAGAAGCATTTAGTAGAAGGAAAGAAGTCAAAAATCAATTGCTCAACGATCCTACTAATAAAGAGAAAGTGATGACAAACAAAAAATGCACTATCCCCAGTATTGTTTAATCTGGTATTGGAAAAAATAATACGAAAAATGAATGTTTCAGATGGAATTGAGCTGGGACAGATAACAATTGGACTCTTAGCATACGCGTACGATATCGCTCTTTTAAGAGATAATATCGAGACGATAAAAATCTGGGGAAAAAAAACTTGTAAGGACCGCGGAAAAACTTGTATTAACCTTTAACGACGATAAGACGGAATACTTAATTGTCAGCCGAAATAACAGAAATTATTGACTAGAACAACATATTGAGTTAGAAGGATATACATTTAGGAGAGTTTCACAATTTAAATATCTGGGATCGATTATCACTCAAGATAATGAACTTAAGACAGAGGTGTCGTCGAGAATACAATTAGCTAATAAGGGATACTGCGGATTAAAAAAAGTACTAAAATCTAGGACCATCTCTAAAAATTTAAAAATAAGAATGTATACGATATTATTGCGACCGATATTCCCGTACGGTTCTGAGACGTGGGCATTAAAAAAATCTGAAGAAAAAAGACAAGGGGTATTTGAGAGGAAAGTTTTAAGAAAAATATATGGAGCAGTCTTTGATAGTGAAACGAATGAATGGAGAAAATTGCATAATTATGAACTCCAAATGCAGTTTCAAAGATCTGATATAGTTAAAGAGATCACAAAAAGAAGACTCATGTGGGTGGGGAGGGGAATGCTTGCGTAAGTAACGATCTCTAATAAGGCAAGAAATAGAAGAAGAGGCTATTGGGAAAAGACCTTTAGGGAGACCCAAGTTTAGGTGGGAAGACTGTGTGAAAAAGGATATAAAAACGATAGGACCGGGAATAATATGGAGAGAAGCTGCAGATGACAGAGACAGATGGTAAGATTTGTATTTAGCAATACGGTCTTAAAGGCCGAAATCAAAAAAAAAATTTTTTCTCATGAAATATAAATCAGACTAAGATGTTATTATACTCGTATACAATAATTTAGACGGATTGTGTATCAATCATCTTTGACACGTTAATAAATTGATTTTGTAAAGTCTATAATAGTTATTGTGTAGAGTCATTTAGCGAAGTGAATTTAAACATTAATGTGTAGTGTCATTTTTATTCGAATACAAGTTGTAGTAATTTTCTGATATATAACTGAAAATATTAAATAAATATAAGAAATGAATGGTAAATGTTTATTAAAACGTGTTAAAATATTATAAAATAACAATATTTAAATTTTAAAATTGTTGAATTTTTGCATTGGATTTCTTACTATAAATAGCATTCCGAATTTTCACATTTTTAATGCTGTTAAGTATTTAAAAATAAGATGCAATTTATCAATGTATATTATATAGTAGCATATAATATGATAATAAATCATTGATTTCAGAATCATTGTAATCTACCGTAACTATGCTTTTTGTTGTGTCATATAACCTTTAGTTTTGTTAGTAATTATCTCGGTAGTTACGAATGGATTGTAAAAAGTATACTGAATAATACACTGTTAACAATTTTATTTTTATAGTCCTTAAAATATATATATATATTTTAACTTATATTTAAAAGTTTATTTTTCAAATCAAACTATTTAAAATTACATATATATAAATATATATATATAGAAAACAAATAACTATAAAACCAGCAAATTTAAAAAAGATCGTTAAAAAGTTTTGTGCATTTGTAATAATACTATAAGTGGTCGTTTGAACAGCAACCTTTGGGGAAAATAAATTATTCCATTCTTAATAAAATACTTATTACAGTTTTTCTCAATACTTCTCAGTACTACTTGGACCGCACTACCATAGTACTTGTTAAAACTAATTTGGTTAAATACAAATAAATATTATTGAGTCTGATTGATTTTTAAAATATTTTCAATGTGAAGTCGATTTACACAAAATTATTTTTCGAAATCATTTTTAGTTACTTGAATCATATTATTTATTAATAAAACGAATTATTATTGTTTTAGATTCTGAGTAATATTACAAATATCGCAATATTTTTGTAATATAGTAAAAATTGAATATTCTAATTAATTTATTAATAATAATACATAATTTATTTTTCATCTACAATAGATACTTCTAGTTTTGCTATAATTGCTTCCTGAAAATATGCATACATTTAAAATGAATAAGTTTATAGCTAAAATGTATTATTATTAATAGTTTTCATACTTTATCTGGTCTAACTTTTTCTTTTAAATATGGATTCAAAAAAAGTAGTTTTAACGGATTATTCTTCCCCCTCCCAATATCTTTTATTTTGTAAAATATATCAATTATTTTAATACCTAGATATAATTTGGCATAATTATACATCCATATTATTATACCTATATATACGAGTATATCTAATAATCATGTATTCATCCATCATGAAATTATTAACAAAACTGATGACGCGGTATAACTTGGAACTGAAGAACTTGGTAATCATTCAAGAAGATTAAATTTAAGTTACTATTATCCTTTTTTACAAAGCATCATTCCATACCTATCAGATTCAATCAGAGAAATCTTACAGAGTGGTCATAAGAAATCTTCACCCCTCTACCCCAACTGCAGATATCTCCTTAGCAATTGAGGAAATTGGGTTCTCAACTAGGCAAGTCACAAATATAAAACATCACCAAACAAAAATGGCTCTGCCCATGTTCTTCGTTGATCTCGAGCCTGATCCCTCCAATAAAGACATCTTCAACGTCAAGTCAATCCTGCACACATTAGTCAAAGTCGAGGAACCTCACAAACGCCGTGATATTCCACAATTCCTTAACTGCCAATCTTACGGACACACAAGAGCTTACTGCTCCTACCCCCCCCCTGGGTTAAATGTGGTGAGGGCCACCCAAATTCAGTATGCGAAAAAACGCCTGACACTCCCGCCACCTGCGCGTTGTGCTCCGGCAGTCACCCAGCCAACTACAAAGGCTGCACTGTTCACAAGAAGCTCCAAAACCGCCGCCGTCACCCACTCACCTCAACCAAACTCACTCAGAAACCTCATCTAAAGGAGCCTCTTCAATGCTCTGCTCCATCAACCAGCTCACCATCTTCCAATCTTCAATCAAACACGCGCCCCAAATCCTATGCCAATGTAACAGGTAATGACACCTCTCATAATCAATTTTGCGAAAACCATTCCCCCAAAACTAATATTGATGTTTTCTCTAAGTTTCTAGATGAATTAAAATCTGTTATCAATCCTCTAATTACTCTCCTCACCTCTGTCATCCCCAAGCTCTTTGATACTAAACAAAATGCTTAACTCCTACACTTTTAACTCTCTCCTCACCCTTTTATGGAATGCTAGAATGCTAACGGATTAAAGAATCACACTAATGAACTTCTCCTTACCCTCCAAGAAAAAAGAAATGACATTGTCCTTATATCTGAAACCCACTTCACCTCCAACTCATATGTCAATCACCCTAGTTACGATTCCTACCGTGCAAACCACCCAGACAACATTGCACATGCAGGAACAGCAATATATATAAAATCTTCACTTAAATACATACCACTCCCAAACTTCATATCCGACGATATCCAATCATGCGTAATATCTCTGATATTGATAACTCTACTCATGATAACTCTACTGTCATTGCACCTCCAAATTACACATAATGGCCTAACTCCCGTCGAAAAATGCCAGACCTCCTGGATATTTTCGTCACTAAGATTCCAAGAAATCTCCACACTCAAATATTAAATCTCATTGACCCTTGCTCAGACCATTCGCCAGTTATGCTTTCACTTGACTGTCTTCCCCAAGCTAAAGTCAACCCCTCAGCTCTATCACAATTTTCAATCGACTGGGACAAATTTAGTACAATCCTATCTGAAAAAACCTGCCTTAAACTCCGCCTAAAGACTCCCTCTGATATCGATGACGCAGTAAACCTACTCACAACTTATATCCAAACCTCTGCGTGGGACTCAGTCAATCCTGTGCCCTTGCACGTTAAGCCTCCCCTTCATCTCCCCTCCTACATGCGAACTCTCATCTCACAAAAACGTCGCGCTCGGGTTATTTGGCAAAGAACTCGATACCCTATTGACAAATCCCATTACAACAAGAATCACTTATTCAAAAGTTGAAACGTCTCCTAGCTAACCTTAAATCGGAGTTTTACGCAAACTATATTTCTTCTCTCACTGGCTCCCTATGGAAAGCCATTAGGAAACTACTACGAATTCACAATCCTCCCCCTACCCTACGTAATGCTGATGGTAGCTGAGCATTGTCTGAACAATCTCAAGCCAACATATTTGCCAACCACCTATCAAACACATTTCAACCACACCACAATATTATCTCTCTAACCAAAATCCAAGAAGTTGAAAGCTTTCTTAACTTTCCTCTTCCAATGTATCCTCCTCCTAGAGCTTTTTACCCTAGTGAAGTTGAATTTAATCTTAAGAAAAACTCACCAAAAATATCTCCTGGTTTTGACTTAATTTCAATGGAAGTGGTCGAACACCTTCCTAGAAAAACCATAATTTTTCTAACACAAATTTATAATGCTATGCTTCGTTTATCATACTTTCCTATATTATGGAAATATTCTATTATAATACTCATACCAAAACCAAAAAAACCCCCTGACTGTCCTTCCTCATATAGGCCTATAAGTCTCCTACCAACTCTCTCCAAACTATTTGAAAAACTCCTTCTCAAACGAATAATCCCAATAGTTGATGAAGCTAAAATACTACCAGACTCTCAATTCGGTTTTCGCAACAGTCACTCAACGATCCATCAAATTCATCGCCTGGTTGACAAAATTTCATTTGACCTGGAGGAAAAATTATACTGCACTGGTGCTTTCCTTGACGTCTCCCAAGCTTTTGATAGAGTCTGGCACTCAGGCCTCCTTTATAAATTAAAACTTATCCTTCCTAGCCACTAATATCTGATCCTCAAATCCTACCTCGAAGATCGGTTCTTCTCCGTACGTGTAGGTTCTTCCTTCTCCTCTCCTACTGAAATAAAAGCAGGCGTACCACAAGGCGCAGTAATTGCTCCCCTACTCTTCAATCTCTACATCTCTGACCAGCCTACCTCATCCCATACCCTATTCGGTGATTTTGCTGACGACAAAGCCATACTAGCAACCAGCCCAGATCCCGTTCTAGCCTCCTCCTACATACAAGATCATCTCTTCTCCCTTGAATCGTGGTACAAAACATGGGGCGTAAAAATGAATGAAACCAAATCCATCCACGGTACTTTTGCACTTCGTCACCATGTATGCCCAACACTTTACTTCAATAATCAACCACTCCCCCC